TAACAGACTTTCAGAACTCAGAGATATTAGATATCATTAGTCCAGTCATCTCATGGCTAAATAATATTGTGAGATTTCTCTCCCTGGAGATATTTTTAAATGTCTTTTACAATCACAGGAAGTCAGAGCTGAAAGAGAATTGAGAACTGTGTGAGACTATCAATCTCATTTTACAGATGAGAGATCCAAGAACCTGAGGAGGCAAGTGACTGGATCACACAGACAGTGGTGTGATAAGATCCCGGGTGTCCAGATTCCCCCAAGCTGGGGGGTCTTTGCTTGTCTAAACAGGCTGCTTCTCACTGTCAATTTTGCTTCATAATTGTTACCCAAAGACAGCCAGGAACTTCTCTTAGAATCCGTGAATGTGCTTGTCATGCAACATTAATCCATGCCAGCATTTAAGGTAACATAGAAATAGCCCAAATGTACCTTGGGCAAGTGCCATGAATCCCAATGGGGGTGGGCTGGGAGAAGTAGTTATGTTAATAAAACCTTTCCACATCAAAAGTGTGAGTCAGATTCAATATACGAATCCCACCAAGAAGTTAAACACAGAGGGAGTTTAATTTTAGTTCAAACAGATCGGCCGTTCACATCTCCCTTCAGAAATAAAGGAGGTGGAAGTTGTTACGTCTTTCAAATTAGATTGACTGCTAAAAATGGGAAAATAGGCCCTGGCCGGGTAGCTCAGTTGATGAGAGCATCACCCTGATATGCCAAGGTTGCAGGTTTGATCCCAGATCAGGGCACATACAAGAGTCAACTAATGGATGCATAAATACTAGTAAGTGGGACAACAGAAATTGATGTTTTTCCCCTCTCTCTCTCAAATCAATAAAAAGAATAAAAATGGGAAAACATCTGAAGGAGGGTCATTTTCCTTGTGGACTGCTGTCCTGTGTACCATCTATTTCTGGCGAAGCTTGGACTTTCAGTCCAATAGAGGAGGAAGTGAAGAGTGTGCCTTTTCTCCCCTTTGTCTTGGCTGCATTCAGTAAATTCCATGCAGGCCCCTTAACCCTGAGGGTGCCCCTGCCTCAGGCTCTTTCCTGAGCCCTGTTGCTCTGGGCTGGTCCACAGCTAGGCAAGGGCGGCTATGGTTGTGGAGCTAGTCGGAGCTTCTGTGATGGTGTACAAATCTTTTCTTAAGGAGAAGAGAAAGCAAAGGAGCCAGCCGTGCTCCTGCTCCTTGGAGCTCACCTTCTTCTGCTCATGTTTGTCTAGGAAGGCCTAATGCAAGAAAAGAGGCTCAAAGATGTGCCTTGTGGATTTCAGAAATTACTTTTCCCACCACACTCTCAACTTGCTCCTGTCCCCAGTGTATTTTCCCACCCCTCCTTCTGCTCCTTCATTTTCCAAGCAAAGGATTTTTTGTGGGTGAATGAGGAAGATGGAGAAAGTGCTGTTTCACCCTGAGTTTGTGTCTGATGACTGGAAGGACCCAGGATCCTGACAGAGCCTTATGGGAGAGAGCACCTGCCCTTTCCAAGAAGCTCCAGTAATGGGGAGATGCTAATAACCTGTCTGGTGGCCTCCAGTGCAAAGCAGTGCCTGAGCTGGGGCCTCTTTGCTGCCTCCTGGATGCCAGCGCCACTCCTAGGGGACCATGGCAGTGGGATGAAGCTGGATCTGAGCTAAGATGGTGGTTCTGCCCCCTTTGGACAGGCCCTTGCCCATAAGAAGCATTCATGTGTTGATTTGCAAAGCACTCCCGAGCTCCTCTCCGGGGATTTTTGTCTGAAGGGGATCTCCATTCCTGGAATTCACTGAAAGCTCTCCCTGACATGCCCTCTGCAACTCATCACGCTAATGGGAAGGGAGGGCTGGAGGCCCCACTGTGTCGGGATGGCTGTATTGATTGCAGTGTCTGGAGGAAGGTTATGGCAATGGATGGGGATTCACTGATAGTGGAGGAATAAAGCTCTGGCCATGGAGTCTGTCTTTTTAACTGGGCTGCTAGCCAGGGCTTCCTTGCCAGTTCCCTACTCCCCCCTAGTCCATCACGCACACCCAACTAGATCTGGCTTCCCTGAACACCACTTAGTCAAACTTCACAATTGCTTAGAAACCCTTAATGGATCCTTTTGGCCTGGACTCAAGGCCCTGCAGGATCAGGTTCACATCCACAAACAGTTGCTTTTACAACCGTCACTGATCATACCCTCTGCAGCAGAGCCCGCAGTCTGGTCAGATGAAGTCTGCTCACAGTCCCCTGAGGATTCCAGGCTTATCTGAACCTCCATGCCTCTTCCCAGGTTGTTCCTATGTTCTGCTCTGCCACCTGCTCAAATCCAGTCCCTCTTTCAGTACCTGGCTCTGCCTTCTCTTCTCATCTGGCTATGCAGTAGCCCATTTATCTAATGTCTGCCAAGCCCCTGGAGATGGGAATTCCTGTAGCCTCCAGGCAAGGCAGAATGTGAGATGCACACACTGCTTCTTGCGTGAATGGGCAGAGATGGGCACTTGAAATAATGAGCCCTCTCTGGACAACTTAGTATTATGTCTTTCTTGGCCTGGTGTTCATACACCCATTTTATAGTGTAGTCTGGAGATGTTTAAAGGGATGGGGGAGGATGAAGGCAGATGCTTCAGAAAGATTTCCAACAAGGCAGTGGTCAAGAGCAGGATTGAAATGGAACAGATGCTAGAGGCAAAAACAAAACAAACAAGGAAAACAAGACATTGGATATAACACACCTTGGAGATGGAAGGTGAGTGTATGGGTTAAGTATCCTCTGAAAGTTCATGTCTATCTAAAACCTCAGACTATGACCTTATTTGGAAATAGTGTCTTTGTAGATATAATTAGTTAAGGTGAGGTGAGGTCATAGTGAATTAGGATGGGCTCTAAATTCAATGAGTGGTGTCCTTATGAAAAGAGCAGAGAACACTTAGAGATGTCGCGAGGAGCCCAGGAATGCCAAGGATTTTCAGGAGCCACCAGAAGCTGGGATGAGGCAAGGAAATGTAGGTCTGACGCCTTGATTTGGGACTTCTAGTATGAACTGTGAGAGAATAAATTTCTATTGTTTTAAGCTATCCACTTGTTGTGGATGAATGAATACAGTGTATCTCAGAAATTTAGGGGATCTAATGCGTGGATGACTATATCTCTCTATGTTTTTAGTACTGCAACCCCACTGTGGTTCTAATTGTGATAAGAAGTTTGCACTTGTCACTTGTGATGCAGTTTTGCAAAGAACTACCAAGGGCAAATTGACTCTTGGAAGCTCCTGGTCATTTGGATGGAGGTGGCTGGCCCATGAAACATGTGGGGCATGATGGGAAATTGTGGGTAGAGTCATCCTACAAGGCTCAGGAAAGATAAATCACACCAGGCAGGATCTCCAGGTTGTTCCCATTTTTATGCAGAAGAAATATGGCTAAAGTGGTCATCAGAAATAGAGGATGGTGTGCTTGGGAAGAGGGCAGGGAGAGGGGAATGGGGAACGTGTTATGGCGAACTTGGGGCATTGGTTTGCTTTGATACAAGTGAAGAAGGAGAGGGGAGATGGTGCTGAACTACCCCCACTGGCTTTTGCAGTGACTGCTGTGTAAGAACTGCCTTCTTTTTCTGGGCCACTGGGCAGTTCTGGCTGTTTTTCTCTGAAGCAGTGAGAATACCACAAAGCAGAGGGTGGACAAGAGGCAGCTCTGCCCTTGGAGGACGTTCTTCCTCCTTCTCAGTGCTGAGAAGGTGAGGTGCAAAGGGGTGCACACTGCAGGCCTCCCCCAGTCACACCCATGGTCACTGTTCTGTTTGAGCAAGTCTGTCTCGTTTCTGAGCTTTGATCTTCTCCCTTTTTTTTTTTTTTTTTTTGGTAATCCTCAATGAGGATATTTTTTCATTGCTTTTCAGAGAGAGTTGGAAGGGAGGGAGGAGAGAGAAGGAGAGATAGTGATTGATTGATATGAGACACATTGACTAGTTGCCTCCTGCATGTGTCCCAACCGGAGTCAGAGAGTGAACCCCAACCCAGGTACATGTCCTTGACTGGGGATCGAACCCTCAACCCTTCGGTGCATGGGCTGATGCTCTAACTACTGACCCACACCGGCCAGGATAAGTCTCTCTTTTACAAAAGGCATCTGAGGTTTATGTGAACACTGAGGAAGAACATTTTGTGAATCTTAGAATGCTATATACTATTACATTTTAGAATCTTTCCCAGGAGATAGGTGGAGTCTTCATTCTTTGGGGTGGCTCACAGACTGTGGGAAAAGTAATGCAGGTTTCGGTTTGGGAAGATGAAAAAGTTCTGAGGATGGAAGGATCACATCTATGTGAATGTACTTAATGGCTCCGAAGTGTTCACTTAAAACGGGTTAAAATGCTAAATTCTATGTTGTGTGTATTTTATCACCAAAAGAATCATAAGCACCTCCCCACAACAAACAAAGTAGCAGATACTGGACAAAGCTGGACTTCAAGTAAATTTGACCCTTGGGTGTTGCAGGGTGATTATTGTACTTGTGGTGAATGCTCATATTTATAATTATTGTGAGGAATTAGACCCATTTACTAGGACTCAACAAACACCATATATTATTGTTAGTACTTTTGGATGGCTCTAGAAATTCCTTTGGGAGGGAAATAGATTGTAATAATTGGAATTCCAATAAACTGTAAATTGTACTTAATAACATATGATCTGAGACCACCTTGCCAGCTCATTCTCTGCCCCCAGGGTGATGCTCCCTCCTCAGCACTGCTCTTTCTTCTTTCTTCCTTCCCTTTGGCTCCCAATTTACGCTTTATTCCAGGTCAGGGTAGAGACAGATTTGCATCTATAGCACAGAAACACGTGCTGAGTCTCAGATGGCCTCATGCACTTTACCAAAAACATCGATGATATCCTCTGGCTCCCAGAAGTGAGAGCTATTTGCACACCTCCCAGAGCATTTCATTGTCTAGGCCTGTGGGCATCCTCATCAAAGCCTGACAGCTTCCCCTGTCTTACAACTTCACCCATTCTTCCCTTTCTCCAGCTATGAACTGCTTCTGAAGGTCAGAACCACAGGCTTCAGTGCTGCCAGATAACCTTTCCATTTCTGAGGAGTCCCCAGAGGCTGGAGGCCCAGAAAATGACGGAAAGGGGTTGAAAGATGGACATCTTTTGGGTCGAGAAATTGTTTGATTTAAGCATAAAATAAGCTGTTTAAGGTTTCTTGTTCAAATATTGGAAGCTGTATTGTGCCTCCTCTAAATCGTATCTGAAAATAATGTAGAACCCTGCTTCCTGACGGCCCATGGTGCTGGGTGGCTTGGAGTCGTGCACAGAGCCAGGCCCCTCTCTCAGATGTTCTGGCTGCCTGCGTTTGTGCCTTCAGGGCAGGCGGCCAGTCACTGAGAGGGGGCTGGGATGGGAAAATCAATGTGTTCCTGTGGGCTTCTTCTTGTTGAATTTTGCTCCACAGGTTGGAGGATAAGTTCCAGTCCTCCTAACTAGGCCGTAAAGTCTGGGTGGACTGGATGCTCACTGGAACCTGTGGAGTTTGTAAAACAAGGAGCTCACTGCCTCGCGTGGTCAGGAGAGGCAGGAGTAAGAGCGGGCGTGAAGGCCTGGGAGTTGGAAGGAAGTTGGGACTCAGCTCCTTGTGGCCCTTCCCTTTGAGATTCACCAAAGGAAAAAGAGATGTCTCCTTGCTGAGAGGTAAGAGTTTACGTTTATCTAAAATCTGAATGCTATAGCTTCATTTAGCTCCAGTGGCATAGTTCCATAATGGATGTAAATTATGTTTGAATTATTGTGAATCCGTGCTGAGGCAAACGAACTCCCAGTCTTACTCCTGAGGTGGGGCCTTCAGAGCTGGGACACCACTTAGTGAAAAAGTGGAGGGGCTGTTATCAGAGTTACATGCCATGGAGGAGAAACTCTAGAAAGTAGACAGGCACTAACCATACTTTCATCCTTTTTCTCCTTAGCAAAATGGAACCTTCTTTCCGCACATAAAGCCCTTCCCCACTGCAGGTTATTCCAAAGGAGGAGAAGCATGACTTCCAAATGCCATCGGAGGAAACCGGCCTGTCTAATGGAGACGAGGACGGCTGAGCGCTTATGCGTGCACGGACGCCTCTGCTGCATCAAACGATTCTTCATGATGAGAGAAGGTGCATCATGGAGAGAGCACCAGCACCTCTTTCTAGCACTCCAGTTCCCTAATTCCTGCTGCTCCTGTGTCTGAAACCATAGCATCCTCATTGGACCACACCAGCAACAAATGCAAATTGACCACAGTCCTCTTAGATGTATTCAAAACACATCATAGAGAAGACGACACTTGAAGATGAGAAGGGTTAAAAAAAGAGCACTGTTCTCCTGGCATGCTGGGATGAGTGCCTAAAAGTGGACGTTGGTCAGGTTCCATGTGCACATCAGCTGGGTCCAGGAGGCACGTGGAAAACCTCTTTAGGGTGAGGATGTGCCTGGGCAATGGAAGCATCCAGAAAGAGCGAGGATCTTTTGCAGGACTTGCTGATGGGTGGTTGATCACTCACACAGAGGGAAGGAACCATGGACTCCATGATAATGACTCTTCAGCCACCTTCTGTATTTCTAGAGCATTGAAAATAGAACCACCATGTATGGCATATAGAATGTCTTACAGAAAAAAGGTGTGGTAAAGTATTTGTTTTGACAAGTTACCTTGCAAGTGATGTGAAAGCAACTTGGAGAAAAATATCCTCATCTAATGCATCCTGTAGCCTAAATTTGTTGATGTCATAAAAATATTTTTAGTAGATTTTTATAAGTTGGATACACTCCAGGAGATAGATAAGCAAAATAGGATCTAAAAAACATAATAGATTCTAGAATTAGAGCAGCATAGGAAGTAAAAAGAAGTTATATAAAGATAGGAGAAATGTATAAATACTACAAAAGGACACTGAACTATGTTAGGGCCTTTACTAAGGGATTGAAAAAATTGGCTAAGTCTATAAAAGACACTGAGAGACTTGAAAAAACTAGATAAAGGTAGAGTAGTGATGTCCTTGTGGGAGTTTAAAACAAAATAAAGAAGTTATTCAGGAGAGTAATTATTGAGGATCTCAAACAAGTGTAAAGTGTAGTTTCACAGCTTAGGAAGATAACTCAGTTCTGGGAGCCCTTATCTCTACTCCAGATATTGGTAGAGTTCTGGATCTATTTGAGAAGATCCCAAGACAATTTCAGAGGATTTTGGCTGTAGAAGACATACCAGTGACTGTCTTGATGAGCTTGGCCCCTTTAAGTCAGAAGTGATCACCTGTAGGCTGGGTTGACCTTGACCATGGGCCTCATATTTTTTACCTACAGGCTGGCTCTCAGCCAACTTCCAAGCTCTGGGCTCCTCCTTCTGAGCTTCCCCGACCATGGTCTTGTTCCTGGGCCACCTGACTGATTTTTGAATGCCTGAGGACTTGTTTCCATCTCTGTGTGCCCAAGTCTTGGCCAAGCTCCTATTTCTGAAGACTTAGTTGCAACATCTGCCCCTGCTGGGGATGGTCGTCGCTTTCCTAGCTGACACACAGTCCAGCTCGAGTCCAGTCTCTTCTGTGGTTGTTCCGAGCAGCAGGAAGCACTGTCTTCTGGATTCACTGCAGAACTTAAGTGTACAGTTTCTGTATCTGTTGCTGCATCCAGATTGGACAGTGACCCTGGCTGAGACATCCCTTACTCCTGTTTCAGATAAGCTCCGCTGGCATTTAAAATCTCAGTGCCCTCTGCCCCATTTGTCCAGAGGAAAGTACAGTGGAACACTTCACCCAGAAATGCAGAAGAAACACATGCTTGGCTAGTGCTGCTGACTGAATCTTGGCTCTCAAGCTCCAAGGTGGTAGTACAAATGCAGAGGGCACTGCTGCTACAGCTGCCTGGCACACCTGTAGACTATGCAGCATATTTCAGCCTTCGGTGTTGGAATGGTATTTCCAAATATAGACTCAAAGGATCCTCAGGTGCTCGCTTCTAGCATAGAGCCAGGGGTCCTGTCTTGCACACGGGCCTGCAGCATGGGGAGAGGACCGGTCTTCTGTACCTCTTGCTTCAAACTCTTCTACCTTCAGGAGGCCAGAGAGGGATGTGGGTCTACATCTTGAAATATGTGCCTTGAACAAGAATTACTAACCCGTAGAAAACTTGTCTGACTTTGAACAAAGTCTCAGTTTACAGACGCCTATGGAAATATCAAAATAAAGCATCAGAAGAAACAGTCACATTGGAGGCCATTAACTAAGGGGAAAACCTGAAAAATAAAGTTCTATTTGCCAAAAACTGTCTTTGATTAGTTTGGACTCTTATTTTTGATCCTTTTCCTCTTTTACATTTCTCTTCTAACGTTCATTGCTCTTTTGCAATCTACTTAATATTGTGAAAAGTGCCAAGTCCAGAAATTAGGATTCTTATTTGAGTAATAAACAAGCAGCCACACAGTGCGGTGGGAAGAGCTTGTGGGTTCCAGTCTGTCTTTGCTGCTAATTCTGGTAACCTTGGCCTTGCCATGGCATCTCTCTTGGCCTCTCTTTAAAAATACTTGCAAAATAAGGGGGGGTCTCTGGAGTACCTTCTGGCTCTAAAATTCATCAATTCTCTATTGCTGATGGTTTCTTCTCTTTGAAGTTTCCAGATTTCTTATAAACTGTCATAAGAGCCAGAGGTCAGGAGGAATGGAGACTTGTGACTCTGTTTGCAACAATGTTCAGAACTTTTCAGTGCAAATGTAGGTAATTCATTTGTTATCGTTGCCTGAATATATTATACTTTAAAAATACTGTATTCTAAAATACCTTTAGAAAAACAAATTTGTTTGGGAAAATAAATAATTGTTACTTCTTGTCTCAGATCCTTTGGTGCCCCTCAATCGTCATCTACAGTGGAGGTTCTTAACCCTGGTCTTGCATTTTAAATATACTGCTGCCTGCCCTGCCACCTCAGAAGTTCTAACCTGATTCGTCTGGCATAGGTCTGGGTTCCAGTATTTTTAAGAGCCAAGTTAAGAACCAGTGGTCTGCAAAATAAATTCAGTTCCTGAGGCTGGTATATCAGGAAGGCCCTCCCATGCATGGTTGGAACCTTACTGTTCTCCATGCTGACCACCTGTGGTCCCTTCCAACGTGCCATCATGTTTCATGTGTGTCCTTTCACATACCCACACCTTTGCATTTGCGGTTATGGCTGAATGCCATCGCCCCAAGAGGCCTAGTCTTTTGCCCCCTTCCTACAGTGCAGGTTTCTTTATAAGCATAGTTCTCATAATACTTTGTAATCCTTCTTTGTAGTCATCTTCCTGTGTTGTAAATATCCTATCCATAATTGTACGTGTTTATATTCATAAATCTGATCATATCTCTCGTGCTTAAAACTCCTCGTGCTTTCTCATTGTACCAGGAATACCCTGCACACCTCCTACCTTAGCCCTAAAGTTGTACATAATCTGAACCTGCCTTTTTCTGAGACCTCTTCTCCTACCACTTCTTACTTTTTCACTTCACTCCAGCCTAACCAGTCTTCTGTTCCTAAAACATGCCAAGCTTGTTCCCATCTCAGGGCCTTTGCACATGTTGTTCCCTCCACCTGCAGTATCTTCTCTCATCCTCTCGTTGCTTCCTTCCCAACATTCAGATCTTAGCCCAAATGCCATTTCTTTAAAGTGGCCTATCCACAGTGCCACATCCCCACCCCACCTGTCATCCTCTATCCTACTGCTTGTATATTCTTTTAGGCTTGCACTCTCTGAAATGATATTTTTATTTTGCACACACAATTATTGAAAGCTTCCTGTTACTGGCATGTAAGTTCTATAAAGATAGGCACTTTCCCTGCCTCGTAGGGACTCAATACATATCGAAGGGGTGAATGTTGTCTCCCCTATGAGATAATGCTCTGCCTAGCATTGTGACTGGAAAGAAGGTGTTCACAATAAATGTCTGATAAATTAATGGTTATGTGTCACAGATGTTTCTCCTTAACAAACAGTATGACCAAAGATCTCTAAATAACACCAACAAAAATTAGGCTGACATATATTATACATTTGCATTTTTCTTAAATAAATAGACATGTATTGGACAGAGCAGATATGTGCATTTCTGTCACCACAGAAAATTCTGTTGGACAGTGCTAGTGTAGAGGGCACCCCTGCTAAGGATGAGAGATATCTGGTTAGATTGCTGCTAAGGCCCCATCCATCTCATAGGCTAAGTGATTCTGTGGCTTTGTGCTGGGAAGATCACATTTCTTCTCTTCTGCTGAAAGCGTTTTCGTTTCCAAAGGTGCTGAGGCTGGTGGAGAGGGACAAAACAACTCCAAGGAGTTCCTGTCTGTCTAAGGACGTTGTCATTCACTTCAAGAATTATAGCGAGACTAAGAGATGGTGAGATGCTACTGGAAAGCCCTTAGAAAAGTTCAAGAGTTACAGGAGTGTAAGGCATGATGATTGTTGTGAATACGTTAGCTACAAAGGCCACTTGGTCCTGGCTCCTTCTTGACTCTAAGCCAGTGGTTCTCAACCTGTGGGTCGCGACCCCTTTGGTGGTCGAATGACCCTTTCACAGGGGTCACCTAAGACCATCCTGCATATCAGATATTTACATTACGATTCATAACAGTAACAACATTACAGTTATGAAGTAGCAACAAAAATAATTTTATGGTTGGGTCACAACATGAGGAACTGTATTTAAAGGGCCAGAAGGTTGAGAACCACTGCTAAGCCGACCCAAGTGAAGTTGGGTTTGAAGCAGTGGGATTTAGTTGCCATTGAGAACTGATTTCTCTACCTTGTCCAAGCTCTGGGAACCTGGATTAGTACGTGGGAGAGTTCAGGGAAGGGCATGGAGAGCTGGCTTCTGCTAGGGAGAATTTTGTTTGCCTTGGCTTTAAGGGAGCCCCCAAAGCAGTGGTGAGAATAATGAGGTTCACCTGGATCAGGGACTTAGCCAGGTTTGAAAACCAGGGGAAGCCCCCTAGGGAGAGGTTTAGTGGTGTAATCTTTTTTCTCAGGTGAGGAGTGAGATCATAGAAAAAGTGACTCTGTCTAACCTTTCTGCCTGTCTCCTGGTCTGGCTTCCCTTCTACTTCCTCTCATGTCTTCATCATGGTCTTAACTCCTGTTGTGACATGTGGTATGTTAACTGTTGTAGGAAAGGCACCATTTATGATGAATGCAGTAACTGGTTTGGTTTGGGTTAGGTCTCAGTGGGACTCTGATGGAAGAGAACCCTGGCAATGATTTGGAAGGCAACCCGGTCTGTTACCACTGTCAACACTACATCCAAACATGACACTGTGCTGGGAGCTGTAGGAAACCAGTTAAGGCACAAACGCTGTCCTTGGGAAGACAAATACCCAAACACAGACAGGTATATTATCTTGGGTTCTGTTAGCCTCAGTTTATTCATATATAAAATGGAAATAATACATAGGAATGAATGATGAACATGTGTGTAAAGGACCAAACAGAAAGCTTGGAACCCTGAGTCACTTAAGTTATTTTCACTGCCATTATGAGGGGTCAGTGCTGTGACTTGGATGGGAGAGATGGAGCAACTATAGGGAGTTCATGGTTGGACATTGGGAACCACCCACTCTGCATGTGGGCTCTCAGGCTGTTTGAATGGTATGGTGCGGATAGGGATGCATTTGGCTTACTGGGTCAGGGGGCACCCTCCCTACAGGATAAGGGCTCACAGGTATGAAAGAGCCTAGTTTTCTTCAATCCTGAGCCAGTGGGTGACATTTTAGCAGCTGTAGCTTCTCCCCAACTGTGGGCTCTAGTTGGACAGGGGTTGATACTTATGGACTATTTACAACTACCCATGCAGTGGAATACCAGAGATTGGCCGGGGTTGGGGGCGGGGGCAGTGTGTGTACTTTTAGGGGGAGGGCAGGAGGATCTCTGTGGCTTCCTGGCACCTCACCTTCAGTGAAATGCTGTTCCAATCAATGGTATTGATTGGTCTCTGATGGCTATTTAGTTCTGTTAGTTTGGTTTCCCACTTGACTATAGAATATGAGTGTATATGTGTGTGAGAGATACAGGGAAGGAGTTATGATTAGCAGTGGACTGACTTTTCTGTCAGGAGGGGAACAGTTATGGGAAGAGGAGGGGGTCGGTTCTTTCTGGGACTCTCAGTTGACCTGGATGTGGGGGAGATGCCTTACCGGAGTGGAATTTAGGAGAAATTAGGATAAAAGAATTTTTCTCATTTGAGAAAGTGGAGAAGGGGTGAGAATAGTCCTAATATGGGGCCAGTGTTCTGAGAAGTGAATGTTCATCGATGGGTGTGAAGAGTGAGGCTTAGAGGAGGGTTGGCTTGTTTAAAACTCAGTCAAGCATGTCTCAGAGTTCCTTTCTCAGCAGACGCCTTGGCACAGCCTTGGTTAGCTGCCTGATTGCTGTGTAGCTGTACTTGGGATGTACAGGAAAAGACAAAACAAGCACATGATACAGAAATTTAACTCATCACTCTGGTCCCTGACCAAACACATCAGTCTTCAGGATATTCCTTTATAAAGGAATCTTTCCCTCCTCCCTAGCATCTCACAAACTGTTCTCTGAAGGGATCTCTCGTCTCTAAATGTGATGGAGGGTGTTGAACTATTGGGAAGGAACTTTGCATTTAGTCGACATTTACTGTACACCAGGAATAATACTGAGTAATTGATGTCATCTTACTTTCCATAACATCCCCGTGATCTATGCGTGTAAAAATCCCAGTTTTACAGATGAAGAAATAGACCGAGCAATGAAGTTCCTGCTCAGGGTGAATAAGTGGCAGTGCTGGGGTTGGAATTCCAGATCCGACTTTAGCACCAGTTCATGGAGAGCCTCGGAATGTCAGGTTAAGGAGTTTGGAATTCTTTTAGAAGGCAACCGGGAGTTGTTGACTGACCAACAGCTTGATAGATGAGAGATGAGTACACACAGAGAAGTTGTATGTCAATAAAACAGTCTTTAAACCTCTCCCATTTTTATAAGCCCTTGTGAAACCCATGGGCTTGGTTCTTTTTTATTCAGCCAGAACTGTATGTGCTCTCTGGCTCCAGTCTTGGGGTTTCTTGGAGCCCGGAGAGTCTCTCAGGCCACAAGTCACATGGTCTGCCTTATCTGAAATATACTTTACAATCTTCCCCAGTTCCCTCATCCTTTATGCTACCCCTGCTCTTATAAGTGATGGATTTGTAAACCTCCGTGTTTATTTGGGGAATTGGACCCCAGACTACTTTTTCTCTATGTTGGCAATTTATTCACGCTTCTGCCCACCAGGTGAACCTCACG